ATAAATTCCTAGAAACGTATAAACTACCAAAACTGAAACAGGAAGAAATAGAAAATTTGAACAGACCAACAGATAATCAGCAAAGAAACTAAATCAATAATCTAAAAACTCCCAACAAACAAAAGTCCAGGACCAGACAGCTTCACAGGTGAATTCTACAAAACATTTAAGGAAGAGTTAATACCTATTCTTCTCAAACTATTCCAAAAAGTACAAAAGGAAGGAAAACTTCCAAAATCATCTTATGAGGCCAGCATTACCCAGATACCAAAACCAGATAAAGACACCACAAAAAAGTAACAGGCCCATACCCCTGATGAACATGGATGCAAAAATCCTCAACAAAAATACTAGCAAACCAAATTCAACAATACATTTTTTAAATTATTTTTAGATTTTATTTATTTATTTGACAGATCTCTCCTAGATAAGAACACAGGCAGTAACTTCTTTGACACATTGGTTGTACCAATTTCTTTCTAGAGAGATCTCCTGAGGCAAGGGAAAACGAAAGCAAAAATAAGCTATTGTACTACTGGGTATTTACCCCCAAGAATATAAAAACACTAATTCAAAGGGATACATGCACCCCTCTTGTTATAGCAGCTTTATTTACAACAGCCAAGATATGGAAGCAGCCCAAGTGTCCATCGATTGATGAATGGATAAAGATGAGGTGGTATATACATACAATGCAATATTATTTAGCCATAAAAAGAATGAAATCTTGCCATTCCAACAACATGGATGGAACTAGAGAGTATAACGCTATGTGAAATAAGTCAGTCAGGAAGGACAAAAACCGTATTTCACCCATTCACTCAAACCATATGATTTCACTCAGAATTTAAGAAACAAAGCAAGCAAAGGGAAAAATAAGAGAGACAAATCAAGAAACAGATTCTTAATTATAGAAAACAAATTGATGGTTACCAGAGGGGAGGTAGGTAGGGGGATGGGTTAAAGAGGTGATGGGGATTAAGGAGTGCACTTGTGATGAGCACATGGGAATGTGATGTATGGGAAACATTGAATCAGTATATTGAATACCTGAAACTAACATAACACTGAATGATAACTAACTGGAATTAAAATAAAAACTTAAGAAAATACTTCAGGATCTACTGTCTTACATAATATGTCTTCCAGCAAAATTATAATGTAGATAAAAACAAAGGGACAAAAAACAGTGTGAAGAAAATCCAATCTTCAAAACCAGATTCAGATATGAGACGTAGAAACTAACAGAGAATTTAAAATAACTAGGATATGTTAAAAAACATAGACAACAGGCCACATCACACAGGTAATATCAGAAGAGTTGGAACTATAAAAAAGAATCAAATAAAAATGGTAGAAATTGAAAACACCTTAACAGAAATGAATATGCCTGCCTTTAAGGGAGCTTATAAGGAGACTCAACACAAATGAAGAATCAGGGAACTTGAACATAGGTCAACAGCAACTACCCAATCTAAGATGCAAGCAGAAAGTAGAGGGGGAAAAATTCAAAACAGAACTATGGAGGCAGTAAGATCAGTGGTTGCCATTAGTTGGGGGCAGGAGGAAGGGAATAAATAGGTGAAGGACAGAGGATTTTCAGGGCAGAGACTGTGTAATACTTTGGTGATGGATACATATCATTATACATTTGTCCAAACTGTGAGCCCTAATGTAAACTAATGACCTTAGATGATGATGTGTAAATAATGAAGGTTGATCAGTTGTAACAAATGTACCACTCTGGTGGAGGATGTAGATAATGGGAGAGGTGATGCATGTGTTGGGGGAGGGAGTATATGGGAAATTTCTCTACCTCCCTCTCAATTTTGCTATGAACCTAAACTGCCCTAAAAAGAAACTGTTAGAATAAAAAAAGTTGCCCATACTTTAAGAAATAAATTTATCAATTAGCATTAGTATTGTGCCTTCAGCGCTCTTTCTAAAACTGTAGAGGTTTTCCTGTGTCTTCTTCTAGATGTCATATAATTTCTCTATGATTCATTTGTATAATGAGTGAAGTAAGTGTTCACACTTTCTTTTGGCATGTGGTCCTCCAATTGTTTCGGCAGCTTTTGTTAAAGAGATTAGCCTCTGAACATTGAAGGGTCTTTGCATCTGTGTTGAAAATAATTAGATTTCTGTGGATCTATTTCTGTCTCTGTTTCACTGATCTTTGTCTTTCTCCTTTCACCAATACCAAATACTACTGACTACCATTTTTATCGTAAGCCTATAAATAAAATATACTGTGTCTTTTCAAACTGTTTTTTTAAGATTTTATTTATTTATTTATTTGAGAGAGAGAGGGAGAGCAGAGAGGGCAAGAGAGAGGGAGAAGCAGACCCCCTGCTGAGCAGGGAGCCTGACATGGGGCTCCATCCCAGGACCCTGAGATCATGACCTGAGCAGAAGTCAGACGCTTAACCGACTGAGCCACCCAGGTGCCCCTCCTTTCAAACTTTTTATTTTTACTTTTTTAGAACTGTTTTGGTTATTCTAGTTTCTTTGCATTTTCATATAAATTTTAGAATAAACTAGCAATATCTACAAAAAGACCTTGCTGAGATTTTGACTGTGACAACTACTGAATCTACAGATGAAATTCGGAAGATTTGATATCTTACCAAATCTTCTGATTCAGGGATGTAGTATTAATACCTATTTATCTAGATCTTCTTTTATTTCACTAATATTTTGTTATTTTCAGCAAAAATTATAAAAAGCAGCAACAGAAAAAAACACACAAGTGACCCAAAGAATCTTCACTCGTGATTTCTCATGAGAAACAATGAGGACCAGAGGCAGTACTTGGTATACCCAAAGTGCTAAAAGAAAAAATGAAAAAATGACAAGGAAGAAGCTTATCTCCAGAAAACTATCTTTCAGTAATGAGGAAAAATTAAGACTGACAAAAAAGGACTAAGAATTCAGTTAGTCAACCTGCCTTAGAAGAAAACAACAAATTCCTTCAAGCTGAAAAGAGATTACTTTAATTCAAATCCATATGAAGAAATAAAAAAGAAGCGCATATGAAGAAATAAACAGGCTCAGAAAAGCTAACTACATAAATAAATGTAAATGACAGAATAAATATAATTTTTACTCTTTTCTTCTAAAATAATTCAAGAGAACTGCATAAAAGATTTAAGTATTGGGGCACCTGGGTGGCTTAGTCATTAAGCGTCTGCCTTTGGCTCAGGTCATGGTCCCAGGGTCCTGGAATCAAGCCCTACATCAGGCTCCCTGTTTGGCGGGAAGCCTGCTTCTCCCTCTCCCACTCCCCCTGCTTGTGTTCCCTCTCTCGCTGTGTCTCTCTCTGTCAAATAAATAAAATCTTAAAAAAAAAAAAAAGATACAAGTATTATGCACATTATAATCTCTTAAACAACAATTTTAAAAAACTAAAAAATACACTAGAAATGAGAGTTTCCTATTGCTAGCCAGCAATTGGTATTTTCAGGTTTTTAAACATTTTAATCACTCTAATATGGGTATGAGGATTTCTCATTTTTTTTAATTGAATTTCTCTAATTGCAAATGAGCATCTTTTCATTTGCTCATTGGCCATCTCTGTATCTTCTTTGGTGAGGTGTATGTTCAGATCTTTTGCCCAATCTTCTGCCCAATTTCTAACTGGGTTGTTTTCTTATTATTGAATTTAAAAGTTCTTTGTATATTAAAGTCTTTTATTGGATATGGGTTTTGCAAAATTTTTTTCTAGTCTGTGGTTTGTCTTTTCATTCTCTTGACACTGTTTTTTCAGAGCAAACATTTTTAATTTTAATAAAGTCCTGCTTATCAATTTCTTCTTTCATGAATTACACTTTCGATGTTGGATCTAAAACTCATCACCCAACCCAACTTCACATATTCTTTTATATTTGCTTTTAGAAGTCTTACAGTTTTCCATTTTATATTTAAGGTCTATGATCCATTTTGAGAGAAATTTTGTTAAAAGTGTAAGGTCTCGGGCGCCTGGGTGGCTCAGTCGTTAAGCGTCTGCCTTTGGCTCAGGTCATGATCCCAGGGTCCTGGGATCGAGTCCCACATCGGGCTCCCTGCTCAGCGGGAAGCCTGCTTCTCCCTCTCCCACTCCCCCTGCTTGTGTTCCTGCTCTCACTGTCTCTCTCCGTCAAATAAATAAATAAAGTCTTAAAAAAAAAAGTGTAAGGTCTCTAAGTAAGTTCACTTTTAAACATACAATTGATTCCAACACTATTTGAAAAGACTACCCTTTCACCACTGAGCACTCTTTCTGCCTTTGTCAAAGATCAGTTTGCAATATTTGCATGAGTCTGAGTTCTCTATTCTGTATCTATATGTCTGTCCTTTTACCAGTGGCATGCTATCTTCATAACTGTAGTTTTATAATAAGTCTTGAAACCAAATGGCATGAGTCCTTCAACTTTGTGCTTCTTCCACACTACGTTACTTGTTACAGTGTTTGCCTTTCCATATAAAGCTTAGAATCGGTGTCACAAATGATGCCAAAGACATTAATAGGAAAATGAAGTAATACCACAAACAACTATATGCTCATGAATTTGATAAATAAGATGAAATGGAACAATTATTTGAAAGATCACCAAAGCTGACTCAAGAAAACTTGAACAGCCCTATACCTAGTAAATAAATTGGACTGCAAGTTACATACCAAAAGATGAAAACTTCAGGCCTAGATAGTTTCATTGGTAAATTCTACCAATCAAGTAAGAAATAATGCCAATTCTACACAATCAATTCCATTAAAAAGAAGAGGAAAGAACATGTCCCATTTATGAAGTCAGTATTATCCTGTTCACAAATCGAGAGAGAAATATTGCCAGAAAAGAAAATTACAAATCAGTATCTTTAATGAACACAGATGTAAAAACTGCCACAGAATGTTAGCAAATAAAATGCAGTAATATGAAAAAATATATATCACAATCATATGGGTTTCAACCAAGAAATATAAGGTTAGTTCAACATTCAAAAATCAATAAAATTCAGGGTACCTGGGTAGCTCAGTCAGCTAAGCCTCCAACTCTTAATTTCAGCTCAGGTCATGATCTCAGGGTCCTCTCTACCCCATTCCACACTGTACTGGAAGGCCTACCAGTTCAATAAAGCAAGAAAAACTATTATAAGGCACACATGTTAGAAAGGAAAAAATTAATTTGCAGGAAACATTGTCCAAAAAATCTCAAATAATCTACCAAAAAAAAAAACCCTCTAAGAATGAAAAAGTGAGTTTAGCAAGGTAGCAGACTATAAGGTCAATAGACAAGTCAATCATATTCCTATATATGGCTATAATTGGAATTCAAAATGAAAAAAATAAAAATTATAAAATTTATAATAGCAACCCCAAAAATAAAGTTCTTACATATAAATCTAACAAAATACATGCAAGAACTCTATGTGGAAACAACAAAATATTAATGAAATAAATCAAAACAGATCTAGATAAATAGGGAGAAATACTATGCCCATGAACTGGAAAACTCAGTAAGATATCAAATCGCCCCAATTCATCTATAGACTCAATGCCATCCCAATCAAAATCTCAGCAACTTCTTTTTATAGATTTTTTTAAAGATATTTTTGCAGATGAGAGGAACACTAATGTAAAAAGAGACATTCTCTGACACACACCACAAAGGAAAAACTTAACCTGAAGCTGAAATAGTCCTTTAGGAAAACTAGAGGCTACCATCCTAGCCAAACAACTCTGTTCCCTAAGTGGGGGTGTCATGAGGAGAAAAGCAAGCCATTTCCCCTCCTCTGGGCTCCAGAGCAGCAGTGTAGAGGTTTTGCCAAGGGCCAGAGACAGGTTGTAACAGAGAGAGCTCAAAAGGTATCCCCAAGGGAACAGACTTAATTTGGAATACCCTGGGGGAAAAAAATCAATCCTAAGAGTACTCCCAAAAACAGAAATTTTGTTGGTAAGCAGTTAAATGGAGACTGGTAACCACATGAGAGCAACAAGCTAAAAAACACCAGTTAGAAGTTTACCAGAGAGAACCAGGGAAAAAGATAACAGCATCCCTCCCGTGGTCTGTATATACACTCTAAGACGACAATGGAATTAAACCAGAAATCAATAATAGAAACATAGCTGGAAAATCCCAAAATACTTGCAGATTAAACAACACACTTCTAACAATCTGTCAAAACTCACAAGGAGAAACAGAGAATCTTATTAGGCCTGTATCTATCAAAGAAATGGAATCAATAATTAACCCTCCAAAACAGAAAGCATCAGACCCAAATGGGTTCACTGGTGAATTCTACCAAACATTTAATAAGATATAATACCAATTCTCTAAAATCTCTTCCAGAAAATAGAAGCAGAGGAAATACTTCTTCATTCTATGAGGACAACATGACCCTAACACCAAAATGAAAAACACTGTAAGAAAAAAATATCGCACATCAACATCTCTCATTAGCAAAGATGCACAAATACCCAACAAACTAGCAAACTGAATCCAAATACGTTAAGAGAAGAATTATACACCATGACAAAGTGGGGTTTGTCTCAAGTATGCAAACCTAAATCAACATTAGAAAATCGATGAATGTAAACCATCACAACAACTAAAGAAGAAAAATCACAAGATCATATCAACAGATGCAGAAAAAGCATTGGACAAAACCCAACACCCATTCATGATAAAAACTCTCAGCAAATTAGGAATACAGAACTTCCTCAACTTAATCAAGAGCCTCTACCAAAAAAAAAAAAATACAGCTAACATACTTAATGGTGAGAAATTGGAATTCCCACAAAGATCAAGAAGGCAAGGATGTCTATCTCTCACTACTCCTTTTTGAATTGTACTAGAAGTCCTAACCAATGCAAATTGTGTAAGACTGTTGAATCACAGACCTGTACCTCTGAAACAAATAACACATTGTATGTTAAAAAAAAAAAAAAAAGAAGATAGTGGGAAGGGAGAAATGAAGGGGTGGAAATCGGTGGGGGAGATGAACCATGAGAGACTATGGACTCGGAGAAACAAACTGAGGGTTCTAGAGGGGAGGGGGGTGGGGGGATGGGTTAGCCTGGTGATGGGTATTAAAGAGGGCATATACTGAATGGAGCACTGGGTGTTATACACAAACAACGAATCATGGAACACTACATTAAAAACTAATGATGTACTGTATGGTGACTAACATAACATAATAAAATAAAATAAAAAAAAAAAGAAAAGGAACACAGACTGGGAAGAAAAAAATATGACTGTCTTTGTTCGCAGATGACATGATAGATGTATAAAATCCTAAAGAATTGACTAAAAAACCCAAACTGGAACTAAGAAGGAATTACACCAAGGTTGCAAGATACAGGGTTAATATACAAAAATCAATAGTTTTCCTATAAGCCAGCAATAAGTGGAATTTGAAGTTAAAAACAATACTGGTTACATTCACACATTCACACTACCCAAAATGAAATACTTAGGTATAAATCTAACAAAATATTTGAAAGATCTATATGGGGAAAACCACAAAACCCAGATAACAGACATCAAAGAACTAAAAAATGGAAACATATTCCAGGTTCACAGATAGGAAGACTAAATACTAATCTTTGTCGACTCATGATGAGGTTATGTCCCCAAAAAAACTCACCGTAAGTTGAAAATATAAGTCAAAAAAGCATTTAATACATCTAACCTACTGAACATTATTGCTTAGCCTCTGAACATGCTTAGAACACTTATACTAGCCTACATTTGGGCCAAGTCATCTAACATAAAGCCCATTTTATAATAAAGTGAATATCTCATGTAATTTATTGAATAATGTTCAGAAAGTGAAAAAAACAAAATGGCTGTATGGGTACAGAATGGTTTTAAATGTACTGGTTGTTTATCCTCATGATCTCATGGCTAGCAGCTCACTGTCACTGCCCAGTATCACAAGAGAGTATCATACTAGATATTGCTAGTCCAGAAAAAGATCAAAATTTAAAATATGAAGTACAATTTCTACTAAATGTATATCACTTTTCCACCATCATAAAGTTAAAAAATCTAAGTTGAACCATCGTAAATTGGGGACCATCTGTACTGTCAAGATGTCAGTTCTTCCCAATTTGTTTCAACATACTCAATGTAATCCCAATCAAAATCCCAGCAAATTATTCTACAGATTATCAACAAACTGATTCTAAATTTTATATGGAGAAGTAAAAGATCCAGCATAGCTAACGCAATACTGAAGAAGAACAATGTTGTAGGACTGACACTATCTGACTTCAAGACTTGCTATAAAGCTACAGTAATCAAGACACTGTGCTATTGCTGAAGGAATAGACAAACATATCAACAGAATACAGAGCCTAAGCCCAGAAATAGACTCACAAGGACATACTCAACTGATCTTTGACAAAGGAACAAAGGTAATTCAGCAGAAAAAAAGTCTTACCCATAAATGGTGACTGAATAACTAACTGGACATCCACATGCAATAAAATGAACCTAGACACTGACCTTATAGTCACAAAATTAACTCAAAATGGATCACAACCTAAATATAAAATGCAAAACTATGAAATTCCAGAAGTGAACACAGGGGAAAATCTAGATGAATTTGGGTATGGTGAAGACTTTCTAGATATGCCAAGATCTATGAAAAAAATTTTTGATAAGCTGGACTTCATTAAAATTCAAAACTTCTGCTCTAAAAGACACTATCAAAAAAAAAAAAGGACACAAACTGAAAGAAAATATTTGTAAAAGACATTATCTGATAAAAGACTATTATCCAAGGGCACCTGGGTGGCTCAGTCCGTTGAGTGTCTGCCTTCAGCTCATGTCATTATCTCAGGGTCCTGGGATTGAATCCCACTGGCTCTCTGCTCAGTAGGGAGTCTGCTTCTCCCTCTCCCTCTCCCTCTGTGCTCTCCCTCTCTCTCTCTCAAATAAATAAAATCTTAAAAAAAAAAGATTATTCAAAATATACAAACACCCTTAAAACTCAAGAACACCCAATTAAAAAATGAGCAAAACACCTGAACAGACACACTTTACCAAAGATAGGGGCTGACAAATAATCATATAAGATGCTCCACAACATATATCATCAGGGAAATGCAAATTAAAATAACAATGAGATACCACTCTATACCTATTACAATGATCAAAATCTGAACCTCTGAGAATACCAAATACTAAAGAGGCTGTGGAGCACAGGAACTCTCATTCATTGCTAGTGGGGATGCAAAATGGTACAGTCATTTTGTAAGACAGTTTGGTAGCTTCTTACAAGACTAAACATACTCTTATAATACAATCCAATAATCACACTTCTTGGTATTTACCTAAAGGAGTTGAACACTTACACCCACACAAAAACCTGCACACAGATGTTTATGGCAGCTTTATTCATTGCCAAAATCAGGAAGCAATCAAGGCATCCCTCTGTTAAGTGAATGACTAAACTGGTACACTGAGATAATGGAATATTCAGCACTAAAAAGAAATGAGCTATCAAGCCATGAAAAGACAAGCAGGAACCTTAGATGTGTATTACTAAGTGAAAGAAGTCAATTTGAAAAGACTACATGATGTATGATTACAACTATCTGACATTCTGGAAAACACGAAACCATCAAGACTGTAAAAAAGATCAGTGGTTGCCTGATGCTAAGGGAGAGAGAAGCACAAACTGGCAGAGCACAGGGGGATATTTAGGGCAGTTATGGGAAAACCAAGAAACTAGACTGACCAAAACAGTTTTAGGGGGCAGGGGAAGAAAACAATTGGAGCACTCACACTACCTGTTTTCAAGACTTATTTCAAAACTTATTCTGCAGCATTAGCAAAATGACACAGAGATTAGTGGAACAAAATGGCCTATCTAGAAATAGACCCACACGTATATATGGTCAATTAATTTGTGGCACTGATATAAAAAGAGTTCAAGGGAAAAAACACAGGATTTTCAACAAACAGTACTGGAATTATTAGAGAATGAGGGGAAAGGGCTAACTATAAAGGAGCATGAGAAAAATTTTCAGGCTATTAAACAATTTTATATCTTGACTACAGTGATAGTTATACTGTGAAGTCCTTCGTGAAAACTCAGTAAGTGTAAAA